TGGGCACCGCCCTCTCTTCTGTATGGGCAGTTTGGTGTAAAGAGACCAGCTGTCTGTTTACACCTGACTGCCCCCCCCCCCTGGATCCAATCCACCTACAAGGAGAGGGACAGATCCCCTAACCTTTTGTTTTTTTGTGGACTGGATCACATTGGAGATTAGGCAGACGTAAACAGACACAAATCTGTTTTACAGCCACCAGTCCATAGGAATACATAGACCACCCGATCGGGTCTGCCTGAAGAACTGACAGCTGGGCCTGATTGGATCGTCCATGTGAAAGGGGCATTTATCTACCAAAAAAAATATATCTGTCTGTGTCGCTGTTGGAGATTTCCGCTCACTGCCTTCCTGTTTAGTAAATTCAGAAGAACAGGAAGTGAGGGCAAATCCAAAACACAGAAAAAAGAAATATAGATATATATAACCTGGCATAACAGCAAAAAACATAACAGAGGTTCTAACCATTCCACACTCTGTCCTAAAATAATAAAAAAAGTTTTGGCTTGACATACCCTTTAAGCTGTGTCTGGTACTAACCTACTAAAATAGAAAATGAGGTGAAATAACTTTCTGTGCACTTCAATCTTCCAATCATGTGCAGGGAAATAAAAAAAATATATTTTGCCAAACATTAAAAAGTTTGATGCACATCACTTTATCATTTAGTAATGCTGGCCATTTTCTGCATTGCAGTTCACCTACATTCACCACAATTTATGCTAAACACCCAATCATTCGAAGAAGAAATTATATTTTGGTAAATCAGCCCTGAATGATTGGTACTTTAGAATGATGGCGATAGGGAAAGTTGGCATGGAGGTACAAAAATGTTAAATGTTGAATGGCACATGTCTCCACTTAAAACAGATGCATTATGTGTACAATGAGTGTTAGGCCTCATGAACAAGGGCATAGAAAACACCACTTTAAACAGGCATCCAGCATTTTTTTTAAGTGTTTAACTACTTCCCACCCGGCCCATAGTAAAATGACGGCCAGGCAAGCCTCTCGTACGTTTAGGAGGGCGTCATATCATGTCCTTTCCGGACCGCACCTTGCGAGTGCCTGCAGTGCCACGCTTTGGTGAGATCTGTCACCGGCTGTGTACCTCGGACAGATCTGTGTACCAGTCCCATTGCCATTATCATGTGACCTGCTGTGACCAATCACAGCAGGTCACATGACAGCTGTAAACAATGGATGGCTTTCTTTTCAAGCCATCCATTGTATACAAGTGCGTCTAGCTGTGAATGGTCACAGTGATCGCATACACAAGGTGGGCCAATCGCAGCCCATCGGTGTCATGTGATTAGCAGTGGCCAAATCACAGCTAATCACAACAAAAAAAAACTGAATTAATCGACTTCATTCAGTTAAATGCTTGTTATAGCAAAGAAATTCTTTGCAATAAGCAATCAAATTGTGTAAAAAAAAAAATACTGATCACTTACCCAAAGTACTATGGTAACATTATACTACTTTGGTCATAGTGTAATATGAAAAAAAAATCTTAAAAAAAAGAGAACAAAATGTAATAAAAAAAAAAAAAAAAAATTATAAATAAATAATAAAAAAATTAAAAAAAAAATCATTTTTTTTTTTGTACTGTCACCAGTCAGTGCCCTGATCACCACCACACCAGGTATGATGATGCTGTGCTGCACTGGTGACAGTATGTAAAAGAAAATTGTGAAAATTATTTTTTTCATTTCTTCATTTTCTGAACAAAATATGACAAACAAATTACAACAACTTCAAAAAAACTCTCCATGCCCCTTATGAAATTGGAGGATATCTGTACTGTTCTGACATTTTTGGGCCTCAAGAAATTAGATGGCTGTAGTCAGTACTTCAGGGTTGTTCAATTTTCAGATATATCCCATAGTTTGTGAACTCGATAACTTTCCTAAAGACTAAATAATAAATACTGATTTGGGTTATTTTCACCAGACATGTAGCAGAATACATCTCGGCCTAAATTTATGAAGAACAATTATTTATTTGCAAACTTTTATAACAGAACCAAAGAAAAACGTGCCTTTTTTTTTTTTTCAAAATGTTCAGTCTTTTTTTGTTAAATTAGCAAAAAAATAAAAATCTCGGTGGTGGATTAAAGGTGTCCGTTTATGAACCAGCAGTAATAGATCGCTGCTCAGTTCTCCGGCATTCTCGGAGAACACAGTTCTCCTGTGAATGCCGTTTATGAAGCATATGTAGATCAGTTCTCCAAACGAAGAGAGAATGGTCTACAAACGCTGGAAAACGGCTGATTTTACTATAATCTCGCGAGATTACAGTAAAAGATCAGTTTACTAAACAGAGGTAAATTATCTCTGCTTAGTTTGCGGTCCCTCCGATTCTCCCAGCTCTGGGCTGGAGAATCTGGAGGGAGAACACAGATCTCCAGTGAAGGGCTGAACATGTTCTCCTGAGTGTGATAAACTGTGAATGACCAGAGAATAGCTGCGATCCTCTGAATCACAGCTATTCTCTGTGTCATAAAAAGGACACCTAAATATCACCAAAAGAAAGCTCTAGTTGTGTGAACAAAAATGATACAAATTTTAGTGTGGGTACAGTGTTGCATGACTGCCCAATTATCATTCAAAGTGTGAGAGAGCGCTGAAACCTGAAAATTGGCCTGGGCAGGAATGGGTAAAAGTGCCCGGTATTGAAGTGGTTAAATGCAGTTCAATGTTAGTCTATGTCACCAAGCACATTAGCCATTTAGCTCCATACTTAAGCAGCAGCTTTAAAAAAATGCCCCATAAATGCATTTGGAACGGAGCTTATGAACATAATGTATGCACGTACGCACCTAAACTTTCATAAACATGCCAAAACGCACACATATGCATGTAATGTATTCAAGTGGCTGGAATAAATGAATATTCTGGCCAGTAAAATGAGTTTTATGCTCATACGCTTCTAAACACATATGCCTGGAAACACATATAAACGCATGTAATTACGCACCTAAGCAGGCTTTGTATGCTGAAATTTCCTGCCATCTCCTGGCAGAAAGATCCAGGTGCAGATAGTAGTATTTTAATATATCAGTGTGCATGAGGCCTTAGGCCAACGTTTGGCCAATTTCCGAAAAAACCTCTCCTCCTGGCAGCAGTTTGGCAGAAAAAAAATTGATGCTTGTAAAAGTGTGTAATGCATTTAGATGCATTTAGGCGAGTCTTGCACTTGGGTGATAATTAATTTAATTGGCCAGAATAATAATTTATTCTGGCTACTGAAATGAATTAATGCTTAAGAGCTAAAAGTGCCTAGTGTCAAGGCCCTATTGTTAAGGCGCGTTTACACATATTTACAGATGTCATGCGTTTTTTTCTGCCAAAACACTGCTGCTCCTGGATGCACTGGAAGTAGGTTTTTATTTCTGCCTATAAACTCTTCTAAGCACCTGCATGGACCTGTACATGGACACATAGGCTAACATACAAAGGCGTTAAGAGGTAGGGAAAAAACAAACGCCAGATGCCCTAGGAGCAGCTAAAAAAAGCATCCAGTCTGCATGAGGCTTTAATAGTAGGTTTAAGACCCCAAAACTGACTTATTGTCATACATACCAACATCTCCATGCTGTTCAATCCACCTAAAGCTACCATTTGTTTAACAGGGAATTTTAAAGTGGTATCAAACACAACATAATTCCATAAAAGCTTCATTTTATTTTGCGTGAATTTGTTTTAAATTACCAAAACATGGCCCACCACATTTTTTTTAAAAAACATATACAAATCCACCATCTATATAACATTGTCTTTCATTTAGTAAAGCTGGCTATATACTAGTAGAATTTTCTTCAAATTTTTAGTTTTAAGAATGCTCACTTGATTTTCTATTCGTTCGTGGGGGTCATATGGACATTGGTTTTTGACCGGAGTGGAGAGAAATAGTTGAAGGAGCAGGATGGGAATTTTTTATTGAATGAATCAATTTCTAACAGTGCATGTGGTTTCCATTGTTGAAAATACTTTCATTCCAAACTCAAATGTTAAAAGCAAAACTACATTTCTGAAGACATTGGTCAAATCACCAAATGAACTGAGAATCTTCATTCAAATGTTCGTATGAATATTCATACAAACAGTAGTTAGAAAATCTACAACTATATTGCCAGCTTTAAACGTGTTGTTTGTATTTATACATTGACCGCCTAAACAAAAAACAATATTATATAGATGGTAGGATATGAAAAGGGGTGGACTGACAATCATGGGGCCCCCGGGCAATAGGGGATCATGGGGCCCTGTGACCATGTGTTTGCCCAAACTCAAAAAATATGAAAAAGATACCAATCTCATGGGGCCCCCTACTGACCCCGGGCTCGGGCAGTGCCTGAGTTTCCAAATTGGTCAGTCCGCCCCTGGATATAAACTAGGATTTTTATAAATATTTTATAAAAAATATGCTCTGGACCATGTGTTTGCTATTTTATATGAATTAAAGAATAATAAAATAAAGCTTTTAAGATTTGTTTTTATGACTTGTGTTTGTTACCATTTTAGAAATTATTGGTAATAAAATAGTAGCATTATTTGTATATACTGATCTATTACAAAATATATCAAACAACAATTAATACAATCTAACTAAAATAATTAAATATAATGTACAAACAGCAATATAAAAAGGAATACCTTTTTTTAAAATAAAAAGAATAATACATAGGTGTAGGTATACTTGATAGGAAACTAACTAAACTCAATTGAGAATTGTTTGAATATATACATTTATTTGTATCAGTAGAAATCAGTATGATTTTTTAAATTACATTGCATGGAGTTATTACTTTTGTGCTGTATACCTTTAACCATGAGCAAGCAGTTCTATTATTTATAGCATTCTTAATTTTAGTACAAAACACTTACTTTAACATCCAAGTCAATGGTAAAAGAGTCCCAAGTTTGTCACTACAATTTTTTCATGTGCAATGTATAAACAATAAAAAAAATATATAAATGTAATTAAAAACTACTTACCACTAATCTGAGCCTCAAAGGTTGCGGCACTACCCTCCAGTACCACAACACTTTGTAAAGGCTGTATAAACGTCGGTGCTTGCAAAGCCATCTTTATAGACACTCTGAAAAGTTAATAAATAAAAATAAATGAAAGTACAAGTTTGAGTAGGCATATTTATTAGCTAAAACATAAACATCTAATGCTGCATTTACATGAACAGAACATCAAATATCTGTTGTTTTTCAATATTTTTATTTATTTATTCATTTTTATGAATACTGCATCAACTATTCTTATTTTTAGATAATAATAATAATGAAATTTAAAACGTAATAATTTGAAATATTTGAAGGATACTGAGAGAGATTTGAATAATGGGAATTTGAAGGCTCATACTGAACGCAAACATGGCTGAAGTGAAAAATGTGGAAAAGAGATGCTAAAAGTTGCTTTAACCTCTTAAAACTTATTTGAGTAGTATGTGCTATATTTCAATATATCTGCCTATCTAGAATCTAATCCTATCTATCTATCTATCTCTTTTTAAAATAATTATGCGTATTGGTATAACATTTGAGGATTATCCTAATATTTTTATTTGTGCTGGCAAAATTCTTGAAAAATGTTGATGCAAGTAAAGCTGAAAATTTAATAACAAATAATGTAACAATAATTACAACTGGATACCTTTTATGGTGTGGCTTTTTTAATTTTTAATGTTGGCAAGAAAAATAATTTTTAACAAATACAAATAAAAAAAGTACACATCAATATTTAATTTGTAAAAAATGTTTAAAATACATATGTCAAGTTAATTACATAATTTACATATAAATAGAAATGAAACATGGAAAACGTGAAAAAACAAATAATCATGTGTTTTAATCATATGTGCTGTATCATGTATTTATTTGTTTGATAAGGATAATCAGCACATATCACAAAAGGGCATGTGCTAATATTAGACATAAGAGCTTTGACTGACAGGAGACAAGTGGCAATGGCAGGAATGACATAGATATGGGAGCAGATGATTCCCTTAAAAAGTCATCAAGTCTAGCTGATACCTCATGCATCTTATCAGAGTTATTCCTGGCACTGTGCTGTCTGGGTAACATAACCTTGTAAGTTTAGATGATTACACAAAAAGTACAACAAAGTTAAGGTTTCTGTTTCAAGCTATTCTTTAAGCTAAATTATTATTATTATTGTACAGTATTTATATAACGCCAAAAGTTTTCCCAGCGCTTTCCAATTTACAGTAAATGTGTTAACACAATACATATTTAAGATGTATTAGTACCCTCTGTGTCTAAGTAACCATTTGAACCATACTTTGCATTTTATTAATTTTTTTACTTTACGTCAGATTTAGTATGCCATAAATATTATTAGTAACACACATATAACCATGATTATTAAGTCATATACACATGCACACATACTTACACACATATCATTGCAAATGCAAAAACAGCTAATTTTATAATTTAGTTGTTTTTTTTTTATTAAGCACATTTGAGTTACCCTATCAGCAAACAATAATCTAACTACTAACCTGATGTCTCCAGAGTGCCTTAAGGGGTTGGGGCTGAGCCCAAGAGTTGGAAAACGACGTCCTTATCCCAAGCAGTAGTGTTAGACAATCCTAGTGCATAAATGGTTGCGCCTCTGTGCCTAGAAAACAAAACTACACAGTTGTTGGCTGTGTGTAGTTTTGTTTTTCTATGCAATCCCTACACCCGAGGCAAGGCTGGAGATGCACGAACTGCTCAGAAGTGCTAACATGGTGCTTTTACCTTTTATACCCCTGATCTGTTCACAGCCCTGCTTCGTCACTTCATGGGCTGTCGCTATCCCTCAGCTACCACGTGGGATTTTGCAAGAGGGTGGCCCATGTCATGTAATGTCACACCTGTCCCTATGACTGCTGGTGCTAAATTTGTCATTCTTTAAGTTATCGTCACAGCAGAGACTCAGCATGTGCACTGGGTGGGGGGAAGTGAGTCTGCTTGTATTAGGGCTTTTTGGTGGAAATAAGACAGATAAGACACCAATCATTAATGTTATGAACATGGCATCATTTATAGCATAAATAGGTTTAAACCAATAAGAGCTGATTTTTGTAAAGCAGTAAACTTCCTCTTTCAAAGAAAGTATTCAGTCCAAAGTCCCATTAATGTTAACTGGGGGTTGTAAAATAGTAAACTTTTAGAACGGAATTTACTTCTCTAATAAATCTGATCTGCCACATAGTATTAAACCTTGAAACCTTGAAAGTGGAAAAATTAGCATTGATCCCAAATTAGGAAGTCTAGGTTTCATTACTTCCACTAATCATTTTAAAACAGGAATTGGTTCTGACACAGTTTACCATATTTTTTATTTATTGGCTTAGGTTACATATTTGTATTATATTGACTTTAAGCTTTTTTCAGTTTGTTGATAATGCAGATATTTCAAATGTTATAATCAAAAATATTATAAATATAAAAAAAAAAATATTTTAAAGAATATTTTTTACACCTTGTTATTCAATTGTGTTAACATAAATATGTGTCTGTAATATGATGCCATACCACGGCTGTAAAAATGAACAAAAGCATTAAAGAATAACTATGGTCAGTATATATAATTATTATATCCATTTCCACATTGAATTTCAATTATATCTAGCCTACTCCTGTTAATCTGAATGATCTTGAAGTTTGAAAACTTTGTGAGGATCCCCGCCTCTTTCTTGAATTCTGCAAGTCATATTCACTATGCCCTGTGAGTAGATGCTGCTGTGTCACACAATTCACAGAACCTGCCATCTGATGTACAGAGGAGATGTTTCAAGAGGCAGCCAGTACAGGGTCACAGCTTGTATGCAGCCCTTAGAAATTGAAGGTAAACAGCAGTTGAGAAGATGCAAAGCATGCAGGGAATCTAGTAAGTTGTGGTAAAAGATGGCCAGCAGACAGGCAACACATTTTCAATCTTTCAAATAAGCTGTATTGAATTGTCTTATAATGGCTTTTTTCATCATCAGGCCAACACCTGAATCTAAAGCAGATAAGGGGAAGCCCCCCTGCAAGAAGGGGAAGAAGTCAATGACCAAGGAAAGGCCACAGAGGAACAAACTGATGCTCAAAACCAAAATAGATGAAATCGCCAACAGAGGAGAATGATTTTTGACCCAAAGGAGCACTGAATCAGAACCAATGAGAGACTGTGAAACCAAAATCCCACCAAAAAAATATAGAACACATAACTAAACAAAATGGCAACTGCTCTAATTTATAATGAGATTTTGGAGTAAAAATGCACATGGAAGGGCTTTGCACAGAACTAACAAAACAAAATGTATTTCCAAACACATTTACCAGCTAGCCTGCAAAAAAAAAGAGATTACATTATCTAACAATTTGTGTTAAAAACAGGGGCTTCGGTGGCATAACTACCTAATAAGGGAGAAAAAGACTGACAACATGACGTAGTCATGAGAAAAAAAAACATGGGACAGGCCCCAAGCAGAACAAGTCCCAAAATGGAACTATAGATACAAACAGGTACACAAGAAAAGACTGGGCATTCTACACATGAAGTCCAAAGCCTTACATTCCCAACTGTTAGGATTCAGGAAAGGAAGGTCAGGAAAGAAAGATAGCGAGGGGCAACTGAAAAAGGACACAGACCAGACACATAAGGTTAGCCTTTGGGATAAAATAGACCCATTCAGATACAAATTCTGCCTACCCCCTCATCCCCAGCTCAGACCTATTGCATTGAGGCAGGAGCGTACTGTGGCAACCTGTGGCATTGCGAATCACAACATGTAGTCATGAGAACTAAACACTGGGTAAAGCCCCGGGCAGAACAGGTCCCAAAATTGAACTTTGGACCTGAAAAAGGAGTTTGAAGGGCTTGCCTAACTCTGAGCACAGAACATGCTTTTAGGAATCTCCTGACCCACCCAGAGAAGCATCCATTGTCATAGAGCGAGAGACAGGAAACTTAGCTACATTGCTAGGAACAGTCAATTGACTAAGGGCAGAACCAAGGAAGGCATCTGAAGAGACTCCCTCAAGAGGCTGCACATCAGCCACAGAAGGACGGCCTATCTCCAGGTGATCAAGTCCCATATATGCTTCTAGACTGTCCCCAACAGGAGGTACATTCGACAGGAACCACACATGTTGTTCATGCTGACAATCCATGGGGAACAGAGTCCTCCAGAAAAGCTGGAGAACAGGAGAACCCAGAGGTAAAGGTCTTGAAACACCTAGTTGATACCCAAAGATTCTAAGTCAGGAAGCTGATTCACAGTGGGTTCCCCTGACTGAAGCCCTGGGCATAGGTGCAGACTGGCAAGGGAGCCCCCCCAGTATGGATAGAAGAGAACTTCCAATTTGCCCAAAGAGGCTTCCTGGTCCATAGAAATAGTCTAAATGTCACACACATAGCTTAGATTAGGAGCAATACAGGGGGGCTGAGAAGGACTGATATCCAATGAGATAAGGGGAGACCATGATGAGAGGAGGTCCTCTCAACACCCTACATACCAGTGATGGAGGAAAAGAGATTAGCTCCCTGACTTTTAAAGTGATTATAAAGGTAAAAATGTTTTTTAAATATAAAAAACAAACATGTTATACTTGGTTTTCGACAGAGCAGCCCTGATCCTCCTCTTTTAAGGTCCCCCGCTGGCACTCCTGGCTTCTATCCCCTGCCAATTGCCCCCATAGTAAGCCGCTTACTATGGGGGCACTCGTGCATGCATGCTTCCGAGCCTGCTCTTCATGTCCTTTGACATACAGAGCAGTCTCGGCCCAGCCCCTGCTCCCTTCTCACTGGCAGTGATTGACAGCAGCAGGAGCTAATGGCTGCCTCTCTGTCCAATGAGAGAGAGAGTCTGGAGAGCCACTGTTTCTGTGCACATTGCTAGATCAAGATTGGTCTCAGGTAAGTTTAAGTGAGGCTGGGGGGAGGGAGCTGCTTGCCAAAGGTTTTTTGCCTGAATGCACAGAATGTGACAAGGTAAAAAGCCTCAGACCTTCAGAACCACTTAAATAAAAAGTCTAGGGACACCCAAGGTATAGACCTTTTTAGCAAGAATTTAAATG